CAGTCATTAAGTACTACTTACTAATGCCTCAGCTGGTTTGCCTCATGGTCCAATTAGGAGTCTTTTTCCTCACTTACACATTATTTATTCCCTTCCATCTCCTTACTATCAGTTTTTCTTTTGCCTCATTTTACTCTTTTGCGTGTTCACTGATGTTTCATTCTCTGCTGCATCGTCCCTTCTTATTTTGGCCCATCTCACTCGTCTGTTTTGTTCAGCTTTGCTTCTCTCACGTCTCCGGGGACAGCTTTATGGTTTCTGTGGCTGGATGCCATTAACGCCATGAGACTGTTACCTCTGCTGACAGACACTGTTTTGTGATAAATGTGGTATTGCATTAAAGCATCACAGAGTCTGAACTTAATGCAGATTTGCCATTGTTTTAGTCGGGTTTGTCCTTCCATAGACCTTGGTAACACACACCGCAGACACTGGAGAAAGTGTAAACTTGATCCCAGGCTGCTTTATACCTCTCTGTCCTTGTGTTTTACTGCACCAATATGTGGTTAATGAGCTCATTCATAATGTATGGCAGGACTCAAAAGCAGTGTTATACGTTATACACCTGAAGTGATCATGTTTAATATTTTTCATTCACTTTTTGATAGAAAGTAAAGTAGTAGCAGCGTGTGTGAGGAGGATTGAGGCTTGGTTTATTATATCAAAAACCATAAATTTGACATTACACAGAAAAAGGAAAAAAAATTATTGCTAAGTTGTTTGTCAACCTGTTCTATGTTGTTGTCACCATCAACAAACACAATTGGCAAAGTAAATCCAAACCATTCTAAACAGACCAATCACATATCAGAATCGGCTTTAAATCGCCAAGTATGTTGAGCATACAAGTTATGTCTCCGGCACAGAGGCTCTGTATGCTTTAGGCAACACATAACTAACAGTTACAGTTACAGACAACTGTAACTAAGTACTCTGCTTTGAAAAAGCATATTTAGCTTGCTTTGCAGTAGTAGAATGGGAAACGATTAAGCAGACTTGAGACAATGGGTTGTTTGCCCTACATACCCAGGCATGACCACTGTTGCTGGCTGTGTGGCACAAACCACAAAACAGACTTTGACTTGGCAGCCACAATGATACACACACATTCATGCACACCTTCTCGACACGACTCACACTGCCAGAACACATCTGGGTGATTGTCCATGGAAAACCTAGGCCTATAGCTAGTCTCAGCTAAGTTTTTTTCAGCTCCCCTCCATGTCAAGGACAGATGGCAGCTGTCCCTGACATTCAGTGAATCGGTTGTCCAAAAATAAAGTCCTTGTGTGGGTGTGCTTGGGGTTACGCGTGTGGCTTAATGGACAGATGATCAAGAGAATAACACAAAGGTTACGGCTGTGCACAGTATGACTTCAGTGTTGTTTCAGGATTGAATGATCTGCAGCAACCTATGGCCCTTATAGACCTCGATAAATGTGACTGAAATAGATGCTGGCATGACAAATCATTTTTTTTCGTTTGTATAACTTTGAGAGGAATCATTTTTTATTGTATGAATGGTGCAGATATCGATCGTTATCCAGGCCAGGGCGAACGCTGTGCTTCATATACTGCAGGGTGTTTTTGTGCGGCTATAATATGAACTATCTTTTGACCAAACTGTATACAACGTGAGATAGGAGATCTGTTCCAACCACGTTTACTGTATGTCTGTGGTTAGAAAGGGGAAGAGTGTGAATATACTCTTGTGTGGGAGCTGAAAGTCAGTTGCACTTCTTCAGATGGCTGTCAAAAGAGAAATCATTGTTTAGTATTTGTTTTCTTGCAAGACTGAGCATTAGTTTTTGGTTGACTCTCTGTTCACTTCAGTGTTAGACATTAGTTTTTGGTTGACTCTCTGTTCAGGGGATTTACTGTTGAACAGCATTTGTGTAAACTGTACTCTTCAGTGGTCATTGTTTAGTTACTAACCGTGCTCTCACAGTATTCATCAACAGCCTGTAGAGCCTAATCCAACAGAAACATATTCAAATATAACAGATGTATACATGGGCTGGATGGAAAAACTTTGACCAGCAACCCCTGGCTCAGTCAGATCACCCACAGATTAGCCCCGATCAACACAGGGATACGTGGAGTTTGGGTTTAAAGAAAGAACTTGCTTTGTGAGTATACTCTTATATCTCAGTAAAGGAAAAGAATACTGGCATGAGTCTTGGGACACAATAAGGAAACATTTGTGGCATTATGCCAGACAGAAATATTGACAAGAGTGTACAAGATTAGCTTTTGCTGGTAAGGCCAGTCAGAGCGGAGTTTGTTTGCGTCAGCTCGTATCATATGCTTCTCACTAGATTAATTTTGCTGCAGCGAATAATGACACAGGTGAACATCTGTTGGCTTGCCCCAAGACTTCAGGTATAATATTCTCTCTGTCTAGCTGAAAGCAGTGCAGTCTTCAGTCCGACTTGTGCACCTGGTTGGCAGCTGATTTTTGTAAATCGCCTGATGAACAGCTTTGTGTATGTGTACACAAGAGAGTGAAAACCGTGTGGGCTGCTCCCAGAACAGCTATCGTATGAGCCATAGGGAATGTTCGTATATAAATTTGTATTTGTGTAGTGTTCTTTATGCAGATGAACGTGGTACCTTCAGGTGTTGGAAATTGCTCTCAAGGATGAGCCAGACTTGTGGAGGTCCACTTTTTTTTTTCTTGGTCTTGGCTGATTTCGTTTCTCTTGGATATGGAGTTCTTATCGAATCCTGCTGATTTTTTTTGCGCCTTCAGACTTATGACTGGCACAAAGTGACTGTTGCTCAGGGTGGATGCTTGACTTTGACTGCTTACTCCCACCTTAATGATTTTTAGCTCTCTGACCCAATGTTTTTACACATACAGGACTCTGGAAGACTATATTTGCAATAAGCACACAGAGAGCACAGGAGGCTAATGTGCAGAGTCTTATTGCTTGGAATATACTGTAATGTGTGTGTGTGTGTGTTTCTCAGTGATAATGGACCATGTAGTTAATAATGTAGCAGAAGCATTGCACTGCACCATGTTTATTGTTTTTTTTTTTTAAATGAAAACTAATTTTCTCTCTCGCTTCCCGTGTCTCCCCTCCTCAGGGCGTTCTTACAAAACTATTTTGTTTGTCCCCGTTGACCCAGTCTGTCAGTGTTTGCGCACATACCACTCAATGGTAGCAAAATACTGTAAATAACAGCTCACCTGTGCAACTGCACTTGCAGTAGTGATCCACCAAAGCATGTTTGCGAGTGTTTGGTTCCATCCTGATAACAGATTGCTGTTTAAGCTTTTTATGAGTTAAGTACTTATGTAATGGCTCTTCCTCACTATTCAGTGCTTCCTGGTCAGCAGGATGGATGGTGGATAGATGGATGAATGCCAGACGGTCTGAGTGAGTCACACATGAGGTGCATCACTCTCTCTCTCTCTCAAATTTAACTTCAGTTTTTCTCATGTAGTATTTCCCCCTTGGTCCTACTACTTGAGACAAAAGAGAAGATAAAAATGTGCTGAAAGGACACATCGTATACAAATAATCAGAGCAGCTGAAGATATTCAAAGAAAACTAACATGCCTCAGGGGGAAAAACAGATCAGAGGCTCCTGTTAATCCTCCTGATGGTGCTTAGATGCAAGTTGTGAAGTGAAGATGCCATCTGGTTTCCAAAGAAACACCAGAGAAACCTTCAGTTAACAAACACATTTATCCAGTCATTTCTTTTTTTGTCTCCTGAATTTGCACTGCCATTTCTTGTGTCTATGCTTGCGATTTGACCAGAGTGCATTGCAGTCAGATCATTTGCAGTCTCCGGTCACCTGCAGCTTTTCACTGAAGCATAGTGTCTTCTCAGTATTAGACTTTCACATCATGTATCCTCACTGAAGTCGGCTTTGGGATTCCATCTCTTGCCTCTTTCCTCTCTGCCCACACCACTGAGCATCATTAGGAGAACAGAGATGTCTTTGCTGATCACAGACCAGGGTTTTTTTTTGTATTATGTGAGGGCAAAGGAATACCAAGATATGAAATGAAATAAATGAGGTGGAGACAGTGTCCTTCATGACTCATCACCCTGCACTAAAGGCTGCAGCTCATCGCAGAACTCCCTGGTTTTGCTTTATTACCACAACAAGTTAGGGTTTGTCTCACTTTACTGCTCCAGCATGTATCATCTACGGATTGCCTTTACCTGCTGTAACACCCAAATGAAGGGGAACCATGGTGCATGCAACAGCCTGTGTTAGATTAAATGTGCTGTTAATAGGGGCAGTGTGACGACATATACAGTATCTGTGCTAAACCAGAGCACACTGTCTCTTTTTCTGTCCACTCCTCTTCCTGCATAGCACATGAAGCAGCACAGAAGCGCTCATGTGACACTGTCCACCATTCTGCATACAGGCAGCTGCACACTGAGGCAGAAGGCACTGTGGCCACTTAAAGTAAACTGCGATCTCTTCCTGTCTCTTCACCTCTGCCATCCTTCTCTCCCTCCTATCCAGGCCCCCCTCAACCTCCAAAATCCTCCTTTAGCCGGTTGCTAAGCAGTATAGGGGGAGCTTGACAGCGTTGATGTTGTGTGCGCAGGACTGCTTCCTGTAAACAGCCGAGTGGGTGCTCTTTGCACTTGGCTACAGAGGGAAGGAGAGAGCGAGGCGAGACAGCCTAAAATAACTCTTTCAGACTCGCGTGAAGGAGATGTGATGACGCATGTTATTAAGTTTGTTTGTTTTTCTTTTTCCCAGAGTGGAAATTTCACAGGGAGCTGAGATAGCTACCGGAGTTTCAAGGGCTTTATGAACTAGATTTTCTTTTTTCACTGCCAGAAAGCACCAGGTTTGGAATAAAAATGAACACCACTGACAGCAAATAAAGTGCATCATGGTCTCTGTATGTATTATGTATATTGACACAAACAAAACTAAGCCACATACAGTAGATTCTCACTTTAAGAGTTTATTTAACAGAATTGAGTCTCACCTGTGCTTTTTCTTTTCTTTTTCAGCTCAGTGGCGGTGAAGATGACCATGGCACGGTACCGTCCCACGTGGGAGCTGGCCATGGACCCTCTGGTCTCATGTAAGCTGTGCCTTGGAGAGTTCCCTCTGGAGCAGATGACCACCATCACACAGTGCCAATGTGTCTTCTGTACACTGGTGAGCAGGAGAGTCCAGCAACACGTTTGCTGCAGGCTATCAAAAAGTGATGAAAATAAAAGATCCACTCCAATAAGTTTTTCAATATACACTAATCATTAATGACCTCGGGATCTGTTACAGATCTCACACCCCTTCTGTGTGTGAAAAGGCCAGGGCAAGGGAGTAGTTAACACCTACCGACTGTCTGATTTTAACCAGTCTAGTCCGGACATGAGGAAACGACGCCTGAGAATGACCACCAAAAATAGAAGCCACTTCTTAGAATGCAGTCTGGGTGGTGGCAGTAATGATCAGATTTTAGTTTATCCTTGTGGTAAATTGCAATTGAAACCCAAAGAGTGACTAGCATCTCACTTTTTATTGATCTATTTTCTGTTTATTTACTTTTAAAAGAAGATGGAAAATATGAATTAGGCTTTAAGGCTTTCACCAAACATCGTCACCATATTATGTAACATATTGACCACATACTCCTGCCTCCTTTTCTGAGGCAACAGATAGCAATCAAGTGAAAAGTCTTGGCCCGGTGTTTTTGTTTACAAGCTGTTGCATGATCTGTTTGTTTTGCTTAACTTTTTTCCATCTGACTGACTGACTGACTGGATATTGAACTGGATCAATACTGTATTCATCTGTCTGTTATTCCCCAGTGCCTGAAGCAGTACGTGGAACTCCTGATTAAAGAAGGCCTCGAAACTGCAATTAGCTGTCCAGACTCTGCCTGTCCCAGAAGAGGACACCTGCAGGAAAATGAGGTATTGATCAGAGGAAAAGTCAGATTTTTTTTTTTTTTTTTTTGCTTTGATTGTCATTAGATTAGTCTGTTCTTTTCAAGTGGTGACTAGTTGCTAATGTTAGAGCATGCCCTGCAGCTCATCAGGTTTATGACCTGTCTAATACAATATATTTTAGCTCTGCATTAGACTGAGGCTGGACTTCATCTGTCCATAAACACTTTTTATTTTCATGAAGAAATTTGTAATGCAGATGAATGTTGCTTTTTCCTCTCTGGTGAAACAAACATCTGCAGTTAAACACAAGCCTTACTCATGCTGACCACTGCACTCTACCTGCCAGTGTGTCTATATTATTATAGTGAGTATTCCTGTACCACCACCTCACGGAAGATCAGTCTGACGGCAATACACTCTTCATCATCCAGGCACTTGGTTCGATGGACTCACTCGCTTCCTGGCTCAGTTTTGGAAACCCACAGGCACAGCGTTGTTTAGCACAGCCTTATGTTTTTAATCAATCAGTGTCACTGGCCCTTGATGGAATCTCATCTACTCCTGCCAGTCATCCCTGTCTGCTCTGACAGCAATCGCTATCTTGTAATTGGCTGCTGGCTGCCAGTAATTTAGTACATTTGACCTTGAGTGTGCATGTGCATGCACCTTGAATACATTGTGGCAATTGGATTCTCTTTTTCTGAGAATGGGATTAAATGCCTTATTAGTAAGCAAGTGGCAAGTTCAAATCTTGTAGAAATATGATTTTGACATTGTTCTGGAAATGATATTCACCTGCTGATTGTATAATCGCTTCTTGCAGCGCTATAAATATGCACAGTGATCTGCCTATTGCCTCTCACTTCTCTTCTCTCTGTAGATTGAGTGCATGGTGGCCACAGAGATGATGCAGAGATACAAGAAGCTTCAGTTTGAAAGGGGTGAGTCAATGCAAAAGCAGCCACAGTCCATCAGTGATAGTGCCTCAGTGTGTGGGCAATGGCTGTTAATAGCTTTACAGGCAGTTTGACTTAACATTGGACATCAGTCACCAGATTCAGAATTCAGTTATTTTTTTGATTGATGACACCAACATTTATTTTTGTAATATCACACATGAAATGCAAAAACAATTATGCAGGCAAGGGGTATTCTTGTGACAGGTACTCGGTCTTGAATGATCTGTACTGTAGTACTAGGACTCAACCCTGTTATCCTCATCAATAACACCAGCTCTCATCAAATATACACAAAGGGGAAAGTCTCTAAGGCTTTGTTTAAAGAGATTTTAATTGGATTGTCGGGGCTTTAGTGTCTGACAGAGTGATTGAGGAAGGTCTCTCAGGAGAGCAAGTGAGGTTTTAGTGAAATCCTCTCCATCTCTTGCCTCGATGTGCTGCTACACTGCTCGTAAAATAAATGCTAACCTTATGAGTCCGTACAGAAATGCTGCTCAGTAATATTAGAGTTGCCTTGCTAACAAGAGAAAGCAGTAACCAAGCTGTGCTATTATTCTTTGGTTGTACTTGGCCTGCAGGTTTTCCACCTACACAGAGGCACAAACTGTACATAGAACATGTAGATCACACTTGAGATAAATGCATGAACATAAACATTGAGTGTATAGGGACACAGAGAGAGAGGTCCTGTGAATGAATAAAAATCCTCAGAAAGAGCCGTGTTGGTGCCTGAATAAGGGCAGTCAGGCGTCTTATCAATGTCCCAGTCCAGTCAGGCAGAACAGTTGCTGTAACCGTTCCATATTTCTCAGGCTGAGCCAAAAGTGTGTGTGTGGAATGAGTGCTCTGAGTTCTTGGCAGAAATGCAAGGGGTAGGAAGGAGAGGATACAACAGTACGTGCATCACACTAGGAACTTAGACCAAAACTGGCAAAAAAAAAAAAAATTCTGGCCTTTTCACCATGTTACAAAGAAAGACAAGCTATTCAAAAGGGTTTGTAGAAATCATACAGCAAGACAAAGAGCATTTCTACTAAAGCAGTTTTCCAACATACTGTAATCAGTTACAAAAAAGATCCTTGAAATTTATATCCAGTGGTGTTTATCCCGGCAGATATCTCTGGCTTCTGAAATGTTTTGGTATCTGCCTCTAAAGCATCAACTGTCACCAGTTTGTTTCTTTGTGTCCAGCCCCCCGCAACCCTATTCACGATAAGTGGTATAGGTAATGCAGTGTTTCCCCTAGGTTTACAGCTTTGGGGGGTTGGCAGTGGCGGGGGACCATATAGAGGCAGAAAAGACATACTATAGTATGTGGTAAGACTGGTCACCTTAAATGACTTCTGTTGTGATCTGGCGCTATGTAGGAAATAAAATTAAATAACATTATATAGCACACCCCACCATTGAGGTGTGCTATATAATGGTAGGAGAAACACTGGGTGATGGATGGATGGAAAACTCCAAATTGAAGACCGCCTTCAAACTAAAATATTCTGAGTGAAATTTTTTTTGTGTGTGTGTCTGTTTGTTGGATGAATTGATGTTTAATAAAAGTAGCTGTACATGATCCCTGGCACTTCTTTTTTGCCATCAGAGGTGCTGCTGGACCCGTGCCGGACATGGTGCCCTTCCTCGACATGCCAGGCTGTGTGTCAGTTAAAGGAAGCAGATTCTCCAGCACTGCCTCAGCTAGTCCAGTGCGCTGTCTGTGCCCTCGAGTTCTGCTCCGCCTGCAAGGCCAACTGGCACCCTGGGCAGGCCTGCCAGGAGAACAACCTTCCCATTACCGCCTTCCTACCAGGAGAAAACAAGTACAGCTTTTAAACTGTTTCTCACCCCCCAGTTTACTGTATTCACTTCTGGTGACTCATAGGGACTGAAGAAGGATCAATTAACCAGCAACATTTTAGAAAACTGATTACTGATTTAAGTAATTGCTTTAAGAAAAATGCCAGAAATTCTTTAGTTTTATCTCCTTGAAGGTGACTATTTGCTGGTTTTACTGGTCTTCTGTCATAAAACTTGCAGTTTGGAATCTCTGTAGTACAAAACAATTTTAATATGTCACTGTGGACTTTGAGAAATTGTGATGCGCATTATTATGGACCATAACTGACAATTTTATAGTTGCAAACCTCATATGTTCTGTTATTGTATACCGTCCACCTGCTCCTTATTCAGAGTTTTTAAGTGACTTCTCTGACTAAGTCAGAAGAGTTTTTCATAGCCTGGAAAGATAGTTTAATAACATATAAGAAAGCCCTTCATAGTGCCAGAACCGCATTTTATTCATCACTGATTGAGGAAAATAAGAACAACCCCAGGTTTCTTTTCAGCACTGTAGCCAGGCTGACAAAGAGCCACAGTGCTGTTGAGCTTAACATTCCCTTAGATCTCAGCAGCAATGACTTCATGAGCTTCTTTACAAATAAAATCACAACTATTAGAAAAAAAA